ATGAAACAGAGGGTAGGGCTGAGTGGTAGGGCGAAGGGGTGAAATGGGATAGGGCCCCATATATTTCACCCCTACACACTGTAGAATCTGATAAAACAGTCCAGCGTGTCAAAAAGGATCGAAAGTGTTTTTAAAGTCAACAAAACATGCAAATATTATACTATTGCTCGTTTGGTGGACTTGCTGCTAAATTAAGGTGTAAAGGTTGTAAATATGATCTCTCCCTCTCTCTCTCTCTCTCTCTCTCTCTCTCTCTCTCTCTCTCTCTCCCCCTCTCTCTCTCTCTCTCTCTCTCTCTCTCTCTCTCTCTCTCTCTCTCTCTCTCTCTTTCTCTCTCTCTCCAGTCTTGTGTCCCTTGCTGTGTAAGAATGGAGGAGTGTGTATCCAGAAGGATCGTTGTCTCTGTCCCCCCACCTTCACTGGAAAGTTCTGCCACATTCCCGTCTCCTCCACCACCTCCACCAATGACATCGAGAAGCCACTCTCCAGCTCTGCGACTTCGGCCAATCAGGGACTGATGCAGTCGGAGTACATCCTGCCTTTACAGAGTCCGCAGCAGAGCCAAAGCAGCGGTAAGACAAACCCCTCACTCAATAAGTAAGAAAATATTCCTGCGAAGTTTTTCTTTTTTCCTGTTTTTAGATCAAAATTCTGATTTAAGGAGTGTAATCGCATCAGCTGCGTTTACATGCATTCAATAATCCGATAACTGCAGAAAGTCAGATTTTGCCAGTAATCCGATCCACACGGTTACATGCACTTGGGTAATCAGATAATGGGGAAACTCCAAGTCTACAAGAGTCAGACTGTAATCAGATTTCTGCTTTACAACCAGCCAATAAACTCACAGAAGAAGACGCGACGTAAAACTCAAACTTAATATGGCGGCTTTTTTTAAATATCGCACGACTTTATCTGAAAATATGAACAAACATCGTCTAGAAGATGAAGAATATTGAAATCCTTTATTTCCTGTTTGGTTTCAGCGCCGCTCCAACAGTGTTTTGTTGCGTCTCGTGACATCCACTGTCTGATCTCACCATGCGCAGACTGAGAAATCTGATAGAAATCAGAGTAAGAGTTTACATGCACTGAGAAATCTGATTACTGAGCTAAAATCCAGCCTCTTGATCGGATTTCTTAATCAGATTTCTAGAGCGAATTTTGGTGTTTACATGACCATTTGAATAATCAGAAAACTGCAGAAATCTGATTATGATCGGATTGTTGAGTGCATGTATACGCACTGATTGTCTTAACAATGTTGTAAAGTTGGGAGAGACAAAGAGGCAGAGGTGTGGACTCGAGTCATATGGTTTGGACTCAAGTCCGTCACAAATTTGATGACTTGAGACTCGACTCGTGAAAACCAAGAAAGACTTGTGACTCGACTTTCACTCAAACAGCAATGACTCAGACTCTGACTCGGAAAGACTCGACACCCAAAGTGGAAGAAACGCAGAGAGTCTGACCGCAGACGGCTACACAGTCAGTTACTGGTCAGGTGAATGGATTCGTTTCCTGCCGTGGTCAGATGGTTGATACTGAGCTTATGCTCGGTTTATTTCAAAAGACAAGAGAACAGTTAGAGTCGCTTTTATAAGCTGGAAACAAGCAAAGAACCCTTTCATGATGCCAAGAACGCTTTAATCCTGCAAGTGGTTCTTTACATGGTGAAGTGGTTCTTTAGATTGATAGAGAATTTGTCATATATGCTTTTATATAGCACCAAAGAGGGTTCTGCTAGCGTTACAGTGTCAAGCTTGTATGCAATAGAAGAACGCTTTTTGCTTCTATATAGAACCATTTTCAAAAAGGTTCTATATAGAACCATTTACAGCACATTCTCTGTCAGTTTGAAGAAGATTTCACCATGAAAAGAACAATTTAAGCTTGCACAGCATTCTTTGAAGGTTCATGATTATTTTTAGGACCATTTTCTTTACTAAAGAACCCTTGAAGAACCATCCTTTTTAAGAGTGTGGTTATCTATGTACCATGGATTTTGTATTTTAGTTGAAAGGGGTAAAAATTAAAATAATATACAGCCAGGGAGGCACGGTGGGTAGCGCTGTCGCCTCACAGCAAGAATGGCCTGGGTTCGATTCCCAGCCGGGTGACCAGGGTCATTTCTGTGTGGAGTTTGCCTGTTCTCCCCGTGTCTGCGTGGGTTTTCTGGGTACTCCGGTTTCCTCCCACAGTCCAAAGACATGCAGTCAGGCTGATTGGACGTGCTAAAATTGCCCCTAGGTGTGAGTGTGTGTGTGAATGTGTATGTCTGCCCTGTGATGGACTGGCGACCTGTCCAGGGTGTATCCTGCCTTCCGCCCAATGACAGCTGGGATAGGCTCGAGCACCCCACCGCAACCCAGAAGGATAAGCGGTTTAGATGATGTATGTATGTATGTATGTATGTATACAGCCATACGCTACTAACACGCTGTCATTACAAGGCTACAGTACTGTTATTCAGTGTTATGGCCTTAAGAAGAAGAATGCAGACTGACTCCATTAGGACTATTGACTTGAGACTCACCTGTACTGACTTGGGAGTTGACTCAGGACTTGAGACTTACTTGTTACTTGCAACTTAGTGACTTGTTCCCACCTCTGTGAAGAGGCAGGATGCAAATGCAAGTCCTTAGTTTTATTGAAAATCCATGACGCAAAGGTATCGACAACAATGACAAAACACAGACAGAAAGAAGACCAAAGACAGAGGGACATGAAGAACCTGGAGAACTAACAAGAGAAACCAAAACAGGGCTTGAGAGAACAAAACACCAAGCAAACACAAAGCACACAAGCAGGGATATAAATACACATAGAACAGACCAGAAACACCTGGGACTAACGAGAGGGCGGGGCTACAGACAACAGACAGGTGAGACAGATAACAAGAAGGCAGGACCAGAAAGGAGACAAAGACCAAAACAACACAAAAGCACATGGAACAAGATAACAAAGGCTGAAACAGAGAAAGACGAGGACGGGGCCAGACAGGATGTTACAAATGTTTTGTTGGAAATTAGTTTTTAGAAACGTCAGTGTCGCTGCTGGACAAAAACATCCAGCTAACAGCGTCCTGTGACCACTGATGAAGGACTAGAGGATGACCAACACAAACTGTGCAGCAGCAGATGAGCTATCGTCTCTGACTTTACATCTACAAGGTGGACTGACAAGGTAGGAGTGTCTAATAGAGTGGACAGTGAGTGGACACAGTGTTTAAAAACTCCAGCAGCACTGCTGTGTCTGATCCACTCAGACCAGCACAACACACACTAACACACCACCACCACGTCAGGGTTACTGCAGTGCTGAGAATGACCCACCACCCAAATAGTACCTGCTCTGTGAGGGTCAGTGGGGGTCCTGACCACTGAAGAACAGGGTAACAAAGTATGCAGAGAAACAGATGGACTAGAGTCCACTACAGAGTGGAGCTGATAAAGTGGACAGTTAGTGTAGAAACAAGGAGGTGGTCATAATGAACTGGAATTTAGTATTAAAAATTGTACAAACATGATAAAAATGCCTCCAATATGTAAATTACCTCTACCGGATGACTTGGTAGCAAAAATGACACGATTTTAATTGACTCATGTAACTGTCGAGTTGCATGGAAACACCTGGGACTAATGAGAGGGCGGGGCTACAGACAACATAACAATTAAGACAGATGACAAGAAGGCAGGACCAGAGAGGAGACAAAGACCAAAACAACAACAAAAGCACATGAAAGTTATGTTGCAGGCAACTCACAACATGCAACTCGTTGCGTATAAGTTCCACCATGTAAAGCCAGCTTAGATGGAAACATCTGTGAGATGATGAAGAACATACGTTCTCTCAGGTGTGGCCAAACTTTGACTGGTTCTCCAAATGTGAGTCAGATTTGGGGCCGATTCTGCGTCTGTTTGGCAGCTTGTTTGCAGCGGAGTGAGCGTTTGCCAGCTTCCTCTCCGTTTCCACAGCGCAGGCAGCAGCAGTGACTCATGGCTGGAGTATGTATGAGCCGTGTTTCTACATACTTTAATCTCCTGGTTTCTCCTGCTCGCTTTCTTCTGAGGAGTCAGGCTGTAACGTAAAGCTGCTCATCACGGGGAGAAAACAAGCCGTTCTTTGTTCTGACCCAGTTTTGTTTACTCTGAAATCTTGCACAACCTCCGTCCACATATTTGGCTCTTGAAAGAGCTCAGGGAACGCGCTGGTGTCGTCCTGCGTTTGGTGCTGTAAGCTGACACGCTTTGTGTTGCCGTTACTTCGGGATCTTAGAGGGTTTTTCTTTTTGCGTGTGCAGCATCAGCCAAAAGTTCAGACTCCGCCTCCTGAAGAGTTTTCCTCCATTCCATTATTTTCCCTATTTAAGATTAACACTGAAAACTACACACTTAAAAAAGACGGTTCTTCAAGGGTTCTTTAGTAAAGAAAGTGGTTCTGCATAGAACCATGAACTCTCAAAGAATCCTTTGCATGATTAAAGGGTTCTTTGCATCGTGAATTTTTTTTCAGATTGATGGAGAATGTGCTTTAGATGGTTCTGTATATCACCAAAAAAGTTCTTCTGTTGCATACAAGCTTGACATTGAAACAATAGCAGAACCCATTTTGGTGCTATATAGAACACTTTACAAAAAGGTTCTATATAGAACCATATGTAACACATTTCTTTGCCAATCTGAAGAACCCATTTATGATGCAAAGAACCTTTTTTTGAGTGTGTAGAAGAACGCTTTTTAGTGCTATATAGAATCCTTTTCTAAAGCACATTCTCCATCAGTCTGAAGAACCCTTTGCATGATTAAAGGGTTCTTTGTATTGTGAAATGGTTCTTCAGATTGATGGAGAACGTGTTCTAGATGGTTCTATATAGCACCAACATGGCTCCTTCTATTACATACAAGCTTGACATTGTAACACTAGCAGAACCCCTTTTGGAGCTATATAGAACCTTTTTCAAAAAGGTTCTATATAGAACCATCTAAAGCACATTCTCCATCAATCTGAAGAACACTTTGCATGATTAAAGGGTTCTTTGCATCATCAAATGGTTCTTCAGAATGATGGAGAACGTGTTTTAGATGGTTCTACATAGAACCTTTTTGAAAAGGGTTCTATATGTATATCAGAGTGTCTCTAAGATCATGAAACACACTTATCATCAGGTGGGTTCTGTCTTTTGACTGATCCTGTATTTGTGCTCATATTTGTATATGTTTGGGTTTGTTCTCATGCTAACCCTGCACTCCCAGGCTCCCCGATGGTGAAGGTGCGGGTGCAGCACCCTCCTGAGGCCAGCGTGAAGATTCACCAGGTGCTGAAGGTGGGTTCCGGCCCCACGGTGCACGAGCGGTCAGAGACGGTGACCTGGTCATCCGGACTCTCTGGATCCCGCAGGCAGGTCATTCTGCCACGAGAAAGGGCAGAGGCTCCGCCTCCTCGTGTCCAGGCACGGCTCGCTAGCGTCCAGGCCCAGACCATCCGCGGTGACTCCATCTACACCGAGTCATCCGGCTTCAAATACTGCTTCAGAGAAGTGCGCAACGGGCAGGTGAGGACCTGGAGGTGGACGATACATTCCGATATTTTCCCGATATGCGGTACGTCACTGTACTTACTTATTCAGACACCTGATCAACTGGAGCAGAGAAAAAAGATTTTTATTTTTTAAAATATGAATACAACAATTTTTATTCAATTTTCCACATAAACAGGACTAAATTTACATTAAAAAAGGTTTCATCTTCACACCGATCAGGCATAACATTCTGACCACCTCCTTGTTTCTATGCTCATTGTCCATTTTATCAGCTCCACTTACTATATAGGTGCACTTTGTAGTTCTACAGTTACAGACTGTAGTCCATCTGTTTCTCTGATACTTTGTTAGCCCCCTTTTACCCTGTTCTTCAGTGGTCAGGACCCCCATGGACCCTCACAGAGCAGGTAGTATTTGGGTGGTGGATCATTCTCAGCACTGCAGTAACACTGACGTGGTGGTGGTGTGTTAGTGTGTGTTGTGCTGGCACAAATGGATCGGACACAGCAGTGCTGCTGGAGTTTTTAAACACTGTGTCCACTCACTGTCCACTCTATTAGACACTCCTACCTTGTTCGTCCGCCTTGTAGATGTAAAGTCAGAGACGGTAGCTCACTCAGACCAGCGCAACACACACTAACACACCACCACCACGTCAGTGTTACTAGTCCCACCCCAGTAGTACTGTAGAAACGCATTTAGAGATCAGCCTGTGGATCAGAGTGTCTTTGAGATGATGAAACATATTCAGTCAGTCAGGTGTGTCCGGTCTCCGGACTGGTGCCGTTTTAGATGGATGGATGAACAGATGAGCTGGTGGGTGAATGAGACTGTTCCCTGTGTCGTCCCACAGTGCAGCTCCCCGATGCCGGGTCTGAGGAGTCAGGAGACGTGCTGCAGGGACGACGGCCTGGCCTGGGGAATAAGCGAGTGCACGCTGTGTCCTGAGTTAGGTACGTCTGAGGTCACTCAGTCCGTCATTCAAAAGCACAAACATGTATACTTGTACGTACAGTAGTGTGGCGTGGGTGTGGTGTTTCCTGCTCTTCTGCTGTGTTAGTGTGTATTAGTGTGTGTGCATTCGTGTGATCCAGCCATAACAGCTCCAACCAAAAGATCAGCTTTGACCTCTTTTTCTAATAAAAGCTGGGTTTTTATTAAGTTTAAGGTTTGGGGGGAAAAAGCTGAGTAGTGTACCCACAACCACAAAATGTTTTCATCACATACGCACAGTATTGTCAAACAGATTTTTGTATGCAGTGTAAGGATATGATGGCATACAAATACCCTATATATATATATAAATGTGTGTGTGATTGTGTGAAAACGTGAAAATGACTTGAAATCAAATCTCTTTAAAATAAAACATTAAAAATGAAGAAGCTTTTAGCCCTCTCCTGTAAAATCACTATTTTGGAGATTGTCCTCTCTTGTATCTCCATTATGCAATAATAAATTGCAATATTTGTGCAAACACACACCAATAATGAAACTAATAATAATACAAGCAACCATAAGAACAAAAAATTCTATTGTTTCCACTTTTTATTGTCCTGAACCGCCAGGACCCCCAGGACCCCCTGTATTTCACACCTCGATCTAATGTAATAATGACCTTTTATCAACCGTTACGTCTCCCGCTCAGTGTTAATTCCCACCTTGTGACTGTGAGTGTGACACATTCGGTGTGTCTCTGATGTGTTAGTTGTGTGTATATTGTCGTCTCTTATTCTCATGATAGTGCAGCATGACACGTTCTGTTTGATGTGAAGCATTAAAAAATCGAATGGGGGGGAAAAGGGCAAATTATCATGACTTCATCGATTGTGTCACGTATATGTCGCGTAAAATTTCAGCACCTCCAGCTTTAAGCCCTGGAGGATTTTTCTGGTTCTAAAAATAGACAAAAACAAACACACACAACACAGAGAGACTGCGTTATCAGCCAGACTGTGTGATGTCACCGAGCCATAAGTGACTGGCGATCTCAGATATGAGTGTTTCTATTCATAGCTTCACTGCAGACGTGCTGAGCTGTCTGAGTTTGCCTTATTTGTACACGTTACTCTCTTTTAGCCCGTCTGGATCAACATTAAGTCGTGTTTATCCCCACTGTGAGTTTATATTAAAGCACTGCGCCTCGCCCGTGCCCATCACCACCCTCTATTTTAAACCACACCGCAGAATTCGACACAATCCCTGAGCGTTATTATTGTTCCAGATGCAGTCGCCAGGTTATACCGCAAAGGACGACGTGTTTATGACATTCCTCTGATTTTCTCAGGATGGTTTTAAACATAGTGATGAGTTATTGTTCTCTGCGCTCCAAAACAATACTTGGAACAGCTTCACGTCTGTGTCCTCGTGGGGTCGCGCGGTGATTGATAACATTAATTATAGCAGCACAGGATTCTCTCTTGCACAATGTTGAACTATGAAACAGCACTGGAGATCACTGTGTGTTACGAAAGAGGACCTAAAATTAGCCTCGGGAAGCCCTGGCCCCAAAATTCAGACGTGAGCATTTGTTTTGTTTCTAAGGGTTTAAGGATTAAGTTTAAACTTGGATTAAATCAAGGTTAAATCACGATATCTGTTAATTACGTTGCACCAAATTTCCAATCTACACTCTAAAAAAAGATGATTCTTTAGTAAAGAAGGTTGTATACGGAACCTTGAACAGTCAAAGAACCATTTGCATGGAATGGTTCTGGAATGGGATGTCCAACAAGCTTGTAGAGGTAAAGGTCAGGTGTCCACATACTTTTGTCCGTATATAAAAAATGTGCTTTTTGTGAATCATCACTGTCGTTTCAAACCCTCAAAGTTCTGTAAAGCCTCTATTTCTGAGATATGAGGTTCTCTTACCACACTGACGATATGTTCTGCTGGGACTTTGGATCTTTCATTGTGTTCATTGTGTAAAAAGTTCTTTAAACTTGGATTAAATTAGGGTTAAATCACAGTATCTATTAATTATGTTGCACCAAATTTTCAATCTACACTCTTAAAAAAGATGGTTCTTTAGTAAAGAAGGTTGTATTCGGAACCTTGAACAGTCGAAGAACCATATACATGGAATGGGACGTCCAACAAGCTCCTATAGGTGGAATGGTCAGGTGTCCACATACTTTTGTCCGCATATAAAAAATGTGCTTTTTGTGAATCATCACTGTCGTTTCAAACCCTCAAAGTTCTGTAAAGGTTCTCTTACCACACCGACGATACGTTCTGCTGGAACTTTGGATCTTTCATTGTGTTCACAAGCATAAAAAGTTCTTCAAAGAAGATAAATGCTGACTAACACCCCTTAACTGTTGAGAAATGTTGATGAGAGGAGGATGTGGGAGGGAAGCGAGGGAGTTCGGCTGATCGCTCTGTGTCCTTTGACATTCTCTTTGTTTTCTGAGGCAGTGTGGACTCTCTGAAACGCTCTTTGATCTCTAAAAGAAAAGGATTTCCACACTTTCCTCCACTTTCGTGGCTGAGGAACACAGACGTAACAGAGTAATTCGTTGTTCACAGAGCTGTTTGTCTTGGCTGCAGACGCTGCTGCCCTCGTACTCAGTTTAATTCTGATTATATGAAGATGCTGAGACACTACGAGGAAACATTTCATGTGTCATGTTCTGCTATAATAGCTACTCACTACCTTCTCGCTTTTCCACTTGTGTACAGATTCAGGAATCAGGATTTTGCACTGTTTCTAGATCACTATATTCATATTTTGTGACATTTTGTAACATCTGTGACCATTGATTTTTTCATTAACTCAGTGTTTCAGATGTAAACAGAGTGATTCAGAGTGGTTTGGTGTGAAATGGTTCAGATGTCTTTACAGTGGTGGTGATAGGAACCAGGGGTCGCCATGACTACAACACAAATATAGACATTTTATTTACTATCCAGAACCACCAGTGAACCTACACCAGTCTTCTGAGTTTATATGGAATGTTGATGATGGAAAATAGTGGAAAATAATAAATTTTCTTTGGGGACTGTTTCGCCTTACAACGCCCTGTATGTATCCCTCCACCATGAATGGAGTATAAAAGTATGTTTTAGTCCAAAATCTTCCCAAAACTATCATAAAACAATGTCAGTGTATTTATAACTATTCAATGTAATAACTTTCTGTGAGGGAGCTTTAGTTATGAATCCTTCATGTATCCCTCCACCATGAATGGATTTAAACGAATTGATTAAAGTACGTTATAGACGAAAAACATCATCATAAAACATAAAAATCATAAAACAGTGTCTCAGTCATCAGGCAGTGAATTCATAACCATTTCATGTAGTAACTTTCTGTGAGGGAGCTTTTAGAGGTGGACGTCTGGTTCCTATCACTACCACTGTGAACAGTTCTGACTTGGTAAGTTTCTCTAGAACGGAGAGTTTCACACCAAAACACTGTGAACCGCTCTGAACCACTCTGAACCACAGTGAACCACTCTGAACCACTCTGAACCACAGTGAACCACTCTGAACCACTCTGAACCACTCTGAACCACAGTGAAGCACTCTGAACCACTCTGAACCACTCTGAACCACAGTGAACCACTCTGAACCACTCTGAACCACTCTGAACCACAGTGAAGCACTCTGAACCACTCTGAACCACAGTGAACCACACTGAACCACTATGAACCACTCTGAACCACTCTGAACCACAGTGAACCACTCTGAACCACTCTGAACCACTCTGAACCACAGTGAACCACTCTGAACCACTATGAACCACTCTGAACCACTATGAACCACTCTGAACCACTCTGAACCTCAGTGAACCACTCTGAACCACTCTGAATCACAGTGAACCACTCTGAACCACTCTGAACCACTCTGAACCACAGTGAACCACTCTGAACCACTCTGAACCACAGTGAACCACTCTGAACCACTCTGAACCACTCTGAACCACAGTGAACCACAGTGAACCACTCTGAACCACTCTGAACCACTCTGAACCACAGTGAACCCCTCTGAAACACTCTGAACCACTCTGAACCACTCTGAACCACAGTGAACCACTCTGAACCACTCTGAACCACAGTGAACCACTCTGAACCACTCTGAACCACAGTGAACCACAGTGAACCACACTGAACCACTCTGAACCACTCTGAACCCCTCTGAACCACTATGAACCACAGTGAAACACTCTGAACCACAGTGAACCACTCTGAACCACAGTGAACCACACTGAACCACTCTGAACCACTCTGAACCCCTCTGAACCACTATGAACCACACTGAACCACTCTGAACCACTCTGAACCACAGTGAACCACACTGAACCACTCTGAACCACAGTGAACCACTCTGAACCACTCTGAACCACTCTGAACCACAGTGAACCACACTGAACCACTCTGAACCACAGTGAACCACAGTGAACCGCTCTGAACCACTCTGAAACACTCTGAACCACAGTGAAACACAGTGAACCGCTCTGAACCACTCTGAACCACAGTGAACCACACTGAACCACTCTGAACCACAGTGAACCGCTCTGAACCACTCTGAACCACAGTGAACCACACTGAACCACTCTGAACCACTCTGAACCACAGTGAACCACACTGAACCACTCTGAACCACAGTGAACCACAGTGAACCGCTCTGAACCACTCTGAACCACTCTGAACCACTCTGAACCACACTGAACCACTCTGAACCACAGTGAACCACTCTGAACCACTCTGAACCACAGTGAACCACTCTGAACCACTCTGAACCACAGTGAACCACTCTGAACGACTCTGCTTACATCTAATTTAATTATGCAGAACATTTTTAATTTGAAATCCCCTTCAAGGCCTTAAAGGATAAGATTTGTGTGTCTTCCTGTGACGCATGTGTTCAGATGACTCACAGAGTGGACATAGTGTTTGTGCTCATCTCAGTGAGTGACAGTGATGTTTCTCCTCAGGGAGCAGAGGTGAGGGGAGCTGCCCGAAAGGCTTCGAGAGGGTCAATGGCACACAGTGTGTGGGTGAGTACGCTGACCACTCCGTTAGAGGAAGTCTCTGACCGTGTTGTGTATCGTCCCTTTGTTTGTGTACAGGATGTGTGTGGTTGGTGGAAAGTTGGTGCGGTAAATGTTTAAAGTCTGTATGTTTGTGCGATGTTCTCTGCAGATCAGCCAATCAGATAAAAGATGAAGTGCTGTGTCACACAGCCGGGTGATAAAGTGGAGACGCGTCCCTCTCAGAGGAGACTGACCGGCTCTGATTCCGGTTTAGTCCAGTTTGAACAGATTAAAGCTTGAAGTATGTCCTGCTTTACTGGCCAAAAGTCTGGAAGCAAAGAGTGATTTCCAAAAATGTTTTGCAATAAAGTCAACAACTAATTTACCAGCAGGTACACACTTAAACATGAAGCTTCTTCAAGGGTTCTAAAGTAAAGATGGTTCTATATAGAACCGTGAACACTCAGAGAACATATTGCATTCTTAAAGGGTTCTTTGCATCATGAAATGGTTCTACAGATTGATGGAGAATGTGTAGATGGTGCTATATAGAAAACACCCAGAAGGGTTCTTTTATTGTTGCACACTTAAAAAAGATGGTTCTTCCAGGGCTCTTTAGTAAGAACCATGAACAGAATCATTTGCACGATTAAAGGTTCTTTGCATCATGAAATGGTTCTCCAGATTGATGTTTCATGTGCTGTAGATGGTGCTATATAGAACCTCTTTGAAAAGAGTTTCATAGAACACACAAAAAGGTTCTTCTTTTGTTATGATGTCAAGCTTGTTACAGTAGCAGAACCTTTTTTGGTGCTATATATGTATACACATTCTCTACCAATCTGAAGAACCATGTAATCATGCAAAGGGTTCTTGCATGTTCATGGTTCTATATAGAGCCATTTTCTTTAATCGTGCAAATAGCAATTAAGTGGTTCCAGATAGAACCCTTTAATCATGCAAACAGCACATGAACCGTGAATTCATCACCACTTCCTGTGTGCAATATAATCAATACTCCATGTGGAATGCATGTAAAATATCTCTATAGTGTAAAGATTTTATGATTTTCTAATTTATAATAACATAAATCAGTACGTCATGCGCAGTTTGGGTAAAATATCCTTCCAGTGTAAATGTTTTTGGCTTTTTTATTTATAATTGTTTATATTATTAATTCTTGTGAAGGATAGAGTTTATTATATTAGATTTTTTATCTTTAGTCTTATATATATTGTCTATATTGGGTGTGTCTCAAAACCTAGTGAGCTCTCTAAGTAGCCGCTGTCTACATAGGCAGCTGTCTAAGTAGGCAGCGTTCCAACTGTCATCTATCCTTATAAGACAGATCAATGAGATGCTCTAGTTAGACAGCAGTGACGTCACCGCTTGTTCCCGCCCACTGCACGAGACCGGCGTTTACTGACCTCAGCCGTCAGAATCACAGTTAGCCAACATGGATCTGCTCTGATGGTTTATACAGCGATTTTAATTGTATTTGCTCTGAATGAAACAGCAAAATAGACAATAGTTGTGGTCAAACGCGGAAAGTATTGGCTATTTGTGCACCTTTATGACCAGAAAACAGATAAATACCCCAGAAAATCAGAATAACTTACATTTGAAGATGACGTCGCTGCTTGGCGAAGCACTTCTGCCATCTTCAAACAAAAGTTGCGCCGTGCTGCATCGCGGGATTGCCTCAGCGGCTGAGGAAGCATCCGATGCTCTCTCGATAGTGGGCCAAAGTGAGAGACCTCAGTAGGCAGCGTATTTGAGATATCTAAGAATTGGGAAAGCCTTCTTGTCGGGAGCGCATACTGTGACGTAAAATGCTGTCTATGTAGAGCTCACTAGGTTTTGAGACACACCCATAGTAACAAGTAACAAACTGTAACCTTGTTAAGTAATTAATAAGGTGAAACGAAGGAGAAAAAGGTGAGATGAGCTGCTTTTCCACTGTTTACAGTCTTTAACGTCTGTTCGGCGCTGCTGCCATGGTAACACTGAATGATGGCGCAGTGGGGAAAAAAGCACATGAATTCCGATCTGAGTGTCACATTAAGGTCACATGACCACGAATCGGATACGTATCCGATCTAGGACCACATGAAAAAGCAGCTCATCTCTCCTTTTTCTCCTTCGTCTCGCTCTAATAATGAAGCTGAGAGCTGATCTTCTCAGCGAAGCTCGTTCTGCTCACTAGTTTGTGCTGATGATGAACGTGATTCGTTCACGTGACGTTACTGAGTAGGATGAGCTCATGAGGGTCATTTCAGGACGCCGGTTTGTCACATTAATGACAGATTTGAATCAATTACCTAAACGAGTGTGAACCATCAAGTCAGAGAGATCGGATTTGAGCAAAAAATCTGATTTGAGCAACGAGGCTTGTAATGTGAACGTAGCTAAAGTGGCTCAGGTCGGATTTGAAAAGATCAGATTTGTGTGTACAAACAGCTCTGAAAACATCAGATCTGAGTCACATTAGGGGAATAAATCAGATTTGTGCCACTTCAGCCTGGTAATGTGAACGCAGCCTAACATCAGCTATAGTAGTTGGCCTTGTTTGAGAAAAACAATCCCAGACCCAGCTGGGTCTTTAAGACAGTCTTTAAGATTGGATCCTTGGCAACAAATTCACGTTCAGGCTCTCTTTTTTCGTGGCAGCTAAGTATAATATTCATACATGCAAAACTCACTTTTACTATTGAAGCATAAAGTCTCTCTGAACTGTTAGTCTGCTTATTTTCCCTGGGTTTTAATAATGAAATGTAATAAATACCTGAATAGTGATGTCAGTATTCAAATGCTGCCACCTTGAACGGTTAACCGAGTACTCGAGTACCCGTGCACGCCTCTAGTGTGCGCATACTCACACATAAACTGATGCACACACCCGTCCCACCTCTCCATGTTACTCTGCTGTGAGCGTGAGTGGAGGCTTTATTACAGCCCTGCTTCCTCCTCTGGTGTAGATATAAACGAGTGCGAGCAGCCGGGTTTCTGTCAGAACGGGAACTGTGTGAACACTCGCGGGAGCTACAGCTGTGTGTGCAGGCAGGGCTTCTTACTGGACGCCTCACACGGCATCTGTATCTGTAAGTACAGGACCTGAAGGACAGCAGGAAAACGGCAGGGCTGGAAGTCACACAGCTGGGCTGTCTGAGAAAAGGTTGGGGACAGATTGACAAACTGATTAATGCTGATTTGTATTACAACATTTTGAAAAACTAGGTGTCCCTAAACTTTTAAAGAGAGGTGTAAATCACTCTCCTACACTGCAGAGAGGCTAACTACTGAAAAACTGTGGTCCAAAAATATCCAGACAACCCATCCAATATTTCTGTCAGAGTTCATGGTATTAACTGAGACTTAGACGCCCCTTTGCTGTACTGATTCATTAGGAAGACCAGCACTAATATTAGCCGATGTAAGCAGATAATGACACTAAAGCTCATCCCAGAGGTGTTCAGTAGAGCTTCATAACTTCAGCTCATCCCAAATGTGTTCAGTAGAGCTTCATCGCTTCAGCTCATCCTAGAGGTTTTCAGTAGAGCTACATCACTTCAGCTCATCCTAGAGGTTTTCAGTAGAGCTACATCACTTCAGCTCATCCTAGAGGTTTTCAGTAGAGCTTCATCACTTCAGCTCATCCTAGAGGTTTTCAGTAGAGCTTCATCACTCCAACTCATCCCAAAGGTGATTAATGGAGCTTAATCACTTCAGCTCATCCCAGAGGTGTTCAGTAGAGCTTCATCACTTCAGCTCATCCCAAAGGTGTTCAGTAGAGCTTCATCACTTCAGCTCATCCCAAAGGTGTTCAGTAGAGCTTCATCACTTCAGCTCATCCCAAAGGTGATTAATAGAGCTTCATCACTTCAGCTCATCCCAAAGGTGATTAATAGAGCTTCATCACTTCAGCTCATCCCAGAGGTGATTAATAGAGCTTCATCACTTCAGCTCATCCCAGAGGTGATTAATAGAGCTTCATCACTTCAGCTTATCCCAGAGGTGATTAATAGAGCTTCATCACTTCAGCTCATCCCAGAGGTGTTCAGTAGAACTTAATCACTTCAGCTCATCCCAAAGGTGATTAATAGAGCTTCATCACTTCATCTTATCCCAGAGGTGATTAATAGAGCTTTATCACTTCAGCTCATCCCAGAGGTGATCAGTAGAACTTCATGACTTCAGCTCATCCCAAAGGTGTTCAGTAGAGCTTCATCACTTCAGCTCACCCCAAAGGTGTTCAGTAGAGCTTCATCACTTCAGCTCATCCCAGAGGTGTTCAGTAGAGCTTCATCACTTCAGTTCATCCCAGAGGTTTTCAGTAGAGCTTCATCACTTTAGCTCATCCCAGAGGTTTTCAGTAGAGCTTAATCACTTCAGCTCACCCCAAAGGTGTTCAGTAGAGCTTCATCACTTCAGCTCATCCCAGAGGTGATTAATAGAGCTTCATCACTTCAGCTCATCCCAAAGGTGATTAATAGAGCTTCATCACTTCAGCTCACCCCAAAGGTGTTCAGTAGAGCTTCATCACTTCAGCTCACCCCAGAGGTGTTCAGTAGAGCTTCATCACTTCAGCACATCCCAAAGGTGATTAATAGAGCTTCATCACTTCAGCTCATCCCAGAGGTGATTAATAGAGCTTCATCACTTCAGCTCATCCCAAAGGTGATTAATAGAGCTTCATCACTTCAGTTCATCCCAGAGGTGTTCAGTAGAGCTTCATCACTTCAGCTCATCCCAAAGGTGATTAATAGAGCTTCATCACTTCAGTTCATCCCAGAGGTGTTCAGTAGAGCTTCATCACTTCAGCTCAACCCAAAGGTGTCCAGTGCAGTTTCATCATTAAAATTCATCCTAACTGTGTTCAGTAGAGCTTCATCACTCCAACTTATCCCGAAGTGCTTTAGTGGATCTCAACACTCTAATTCATCCCAAAGACCTTTGATGGGGCTTCATCACTCCAACTCACCCCAGACATGTTCAGTGGAGCTTCCTCACTCTAACACATCCCAGAGATATTCTGTGGCCTTCACCACTCAAACTCATCCCAAAAGACTTCAGTGACGATTTCTCACTTCCGCTCATCCCAAAGATGTTCAGTGCAGTTTCGTCATTCCAGTTCATCCTAAATGTGTTCAATAAAACTTCACCACTCTAACGCATCCCAAAGGTACTCTGCGGAGCTTCTTTATGCCCCCTCATCCCAAAGGTGTTCACTGGGGCTTCATCACTCCAACTCATCCCAAAGGTGTTCAGCAGCGCTTCTTCACTCCAACACACCCCAAAAATGTTCAGGGGAGCTTTTCACTCCAACTCAACTTCCTGGTGCTCCATAGAGCTTCATCACTCCAACTCATCCCAAAAGTGTTCAGTGGAGCTTCATCACTCCAACTCATCCCAAAAGTGTTCAGTGGAGCTTCTTCACTCCGACGCATTCCAAAGATCTGCTAACTAGAGGGCATCTGTATTTTTTAAAACATACTGTGTAAGTACAGGCTGTTGTCCATCTATTGAGAAATGTTTAGACCTTTGGACATATAGTGTAGGTGTGCAGTTACAGACTGTATAGTTAACCTCATCGTTGGTCAGTTTCTGACCGCAGGGCCGCCGTTGTCCAGATATTATTTGGGTATTGGATGACTCTAAGCACAACAATGACACTGACATGGCAGTGTGTGTTGTGTTGGTGCCAGAGTATCAGACACAGCAGTGCTGCTGGACACGTCAGTGTCCCTTCTAGGTTGACAAGTGTCAATCCAAGAGTGGCTCTTCGGTCAGAAACTGACCACTGATGAAGAACTAAAACAAACTGTCCATCAACATTTTAAATTTGAGAAGTGTAGAGGATCCTGCCCTTTCGCATTCTTAATATAAGACCATTTTCAGCCTCAATGCAGCGAGGCAGACAGTAATACAGTGGTGGTTCTAGCTGTGTGGTGCTCCAGCCCTGCCTACTCCTACCAGGATTGCTGTGCTGCTGTTCGTCCATGCTTTAGTGATGCCTGCTGGGCTCAGCTGCCCTCTGCCCTTTGACCTCTGTGCTCCTACAGCTGCCCTGCTTAGGCCCTGCCTGATCAGTCATGGACCTGACAGCATCCTCAGCCCCATACAGTGTTTCCTCTGTGCCTGTGTGCTCTGTGCTGATTTTGTTAAAGGGCCCATATCATGCAATACTAAATCCTCATATAAGAGCTTGATTTACCATTTAACGTCTTACGTTTCATTTAAAGGTGCAGTGTGTAAGATTTAGTGCTGTGTAGTGGTAGAATTGCAACCAACTGAACACCCCTCCCTCACCCCTCCCTTTCCAAGCGTATAGTAGAACCTACGATGGACATTTTCTTTGATGGTGACGATTCACCCTCCCTCACACAAGTCTGATCCTCCATTTGTCAAAATTTGGGTTCTCAAACTTCTCACAACACAAAACGGTCAGTCGGCACCGGCAGCGACCACTGATTCTTCTTCTTTCTTCGTCTTCCAACCGGAGCTACAGCGCCACCAAATTCAAGCTGCCACTTCAGCATAAAAACACGAAAGGCGCCCTCTAGAGTCAGAGTTTGGTTTGTTTGTTCTGGGCTACTGTAGAAACATGGTGGCGGCAGCCTCTGCTGGAAGAGGAGCTGCTCCCTATGTAGATATGAAGGGCTCATTCTAAGATAACGAAAACACAATTCATAGTTACAGGTGATCATACACTCATGAAAACATGCTTTTGTTTACTATATTGTATACTAAATCTTACACACTGCACCTTTAACCATGAAACATAGTTTCATAACATACAATTTGCTCACTAAACAGGTAGTTTTAAATTTATGATTGTGGTATCACAGCCATGAAGAAACGTCAACCACAGCAGTTTAGCCCCACCCATTCAGCCTATAGCAGTTTAGCCCCGCCCACTCAGCCTACAGCAGCTTAGCCCCACTCATTCCCGTTGAAGCGATGCGGAGTGTTGCTTTTGCATTGTGTGTGGTGATTATTTAAGTGGAAGTTGTGGGAAAACGAATAAACGTTGTGCTGTTCCTGGCTGTCAGTAAGCAAATGGATCATAACAGTACACAGTACTAGTGTAGACGTAACAGTTTCAGCCTAGATTGCTGTTTGTATGAGGCACAGTACAGGGCAGCCAATCCAAACAGAGATCATTTACGCACGTCAGTTAAATTCTGACGGTTGGAAAATGATTATGGAGAGTTTTAAATACATTATGACTGATTTTGGAACATGCAAGACAATTAAACCTTCGGAAATAAATAAAATACAAGGAAAATGTAGAATATGGGCCCTTTAAAGTCTGCCTGCTTGGTGCGCGTCTGGCAATCTTCTCAGTCTAGTTTGGGTCATGTTGTCTCTCTGTCTCGGAATGCTACTGAAGCTTATTGAGTGTCAGTCTATGCATATGTATGTTTGTGTGTGTGTGTCTTTGCACATGCCTGTGTTTCTGAGCGTTTTGTGGCCGTGGTATTTGTCCGTGGCCGAGTGTGTGACGGCTGTATGTGGAATGCTTGGCTCTGGTAGTCAAATCTGCTCTTCTAATTCAGAATTGATGTGGTTAAAGCGATAGTTCAGCAAAATAACAGATGTACCCACTTTTTGCTCCTTTCCTCATTGGTGTCTAAAAGCCTTGATTTAGTTTGCCAGACTGTCACTTTTGAAAAAGGTTAAGCTTGTTCATATTTATCAACCATTGTCTCTATAAATTCTGTAGTCTTACCTCTACAAACCCATACCTGTACAAAGGAATGTGCTGTGCAAATGCGGGATGTCAGAAAGGCTGTGTGTATTCTGTCTGTGTCCTTCCCTGGACCTCCCTGCGAGGTTGCTGCATGTTGGATGGCGTGCACCTGTCCACTCTTCAGGGCCTTCGCTGTGTGACTCTCTGGTGTTTGTGCTGTGCATATGATGGTGCTTTTGCTGTGATCAGCCCAGAAGGTGATTTCAGAGGAGAAGGATCAGTGTTTCCGGATCGTGAGCCAGGGCTCCTGCTCTCTGCCCATCCTGAGGACCATCACCAAGCAGATCTGCTGCTGCAGCCGTGTGGGAAAAGCCTGGGGACGCAAGTGCGAGGCCTGTCCGTACTTCGGCTCCGGTCAGTTCCTCATCCCATGTGTTAATATGTGCAAATGTTTGAAAAGTCTGAAAAACTCTGTCCTCCAACACACCTGAACCAGCACACGAGGAGCCCCTGGTGTAATCTATCTATGCATCCGTCATATCTGTCTCTCTCTCCACCTCTCCACCCGTCTGTCTGTCCATCCATCTATTTCTCCATCCATCAGTCCACTTGTCTACTCAGCTATATGTCCGTCCATCCTTCCATCCATCTGTTCATCTGTGCATTTGCTTGTGTATCCGTCCGTCTTTCCACCTACAGTGTCTGTCCATCCATTTGTCTGTCCATCTGTCTGTCAATCCATGAGTCCATCCACCTATCTATCTAACTATCTGTCTGTCTATCTATCTGTCTATCTGTCTGTCTATCTGTCTATCTATCTATCTATCTATCTATCTATCTATCTATCTATCCGTCTATCCTTCTATCTATCTATCTATCTATCTATCTATCTATCTATCTGTCTATCTGTCTGTCTCTGTCTATCTATCTATCTATCTATCTATCTATCTATCTATCTATCTATCTATCTGTCTGTCTCTGTCTGTCTATCTATCTATCTATCTATCTATCTATCTGTCTATCTGTCTGTCTCTGTCTGTCTATCTATCTATCTATCTCTCTATCTATCTATTTATCTGTCTGTCTGTCTATCTGTCTGTATCCATCCATCCATCCATCTGTTCATCCATTCACCTTCTACCCATCCTCCTGTGCATCCATCCATCTGTATATCTGCTTATCTATATCTATCTATCTATCTATCTATCTATCTATCTACCATCCACCTGTTCAGTCCATCCAACTATGTATCTAACTCTCTATCTGTTCATCCATTCATCTTTCTACCCATCCTCCTGTGCATCCATTCTTCTGTATATCTGCCTATCTTTCCATCTACATATCTATCTATCTATCTGTCTGTCCGTCCGTCCGTCCGTCCGTCCGTTCATTCATCTCTCTACCCATCTACTTCTGCATTAGTACATTCATCTATCTGTCCAATTATTTGTCCATCCATCTATCAACCGATCTGTCTCTGCGTCCATTTCTCTATCCTTCTATCTATCTGTCCATCCATCCATCCATCTACATATGTGAGTCAGATATGCTGGGGTCCTACTTTAGAAGACACATTAGATGTATAGTGCGTTTGATTTCCAGGACAGAGACTGAACAGCCCAGATTTATCTGGATGTGTTTCAGACTTACTGCAAAGTCGAGACTCCATGAAGATGTTCTGTATTAAGTACTTAGTTATTCCATTTTTTCAAAGAAATTTGCTTCTTATTTGCATGATATTCTCATCATTTGCATCACTCTCTCATCTGCTTCTCCGCTGCCGCTCCCTCATGGATGCCTGACTCCATAGAAAATGAACTGGAGGCAAACCGACGTGTGCTTTGCTCCTCATTAATGAAAGTGCAGCGTCAGAGGTGTATTAGGGGCTGTTTTTGGAGGTGCTAAATGTGTATTTAATCCCATCATGCATTAATGTGTGTTCACAGACGAGTTTAAGGAGATCTGTCCTGCTGGGCCGGGCTACCATTACTCTCCCAACACTCTGAAGTTTAACCAGAGACTGGCCGAAACTCACAGGACCCCTCTGGTTTCTGAGACCAAACCCCAGCAGCCAGAATCCTCCATATCACAGCCAGCTGCCAGACACCAACTGCCCACCAGCCCACAAACCACACGCCCTCAACCACCGACAGTTGGCCAGACCACCCGCGTCCAGCAGCCAAGCGCTCCTCATACTGACCCCAGACGGCCCACGCAGCCCATCACCTCCGTTTTCATCATCCAGGGTGGACCACAGCAGCTCAGTGGCGCTGGAGCCCAGGCTCAGAGCAGACCAGCGGCAGCAGCTACGGCAGCCAGCCAGCCTACCAGAGCGCAGCCGTGTGAGTGACCACAGTCACGTCCACCAAATCAGCTCCGACTGCCTGCGTTGTACATGGAAATTCAGCTCATTGTAATAATAATGTTGATATTAACAACAATAACCACAACAACAGCAATAATGATTATATTATTAGTATTATACTATCATTAATATGAAAGATGTGAAGTCGTTATTCCATACATGTCAAATCAAAGTCATAAAGATATTTCAAACAAAGCATCTTTTACTACCTCTGTTCTACATGGAAATTCGGTTTGTTGTAAAATGCTATAATACTACTGGAAATATATATGTTAATTATTATTTATTATTCCTTATAGAGTACTAGCAGTAGAAATAAAATGTACTTAGCTCATATATTGTTATTATTATTGTAGTTTTGTTTGTTTTTGTTTTGTTGTTGTTAATAGTATGCAGTGGAGGATGAAGACAAACAAAAACAAACACCATAATTGCTTATGCAAATGTTACAGCTAAACCAGGATTTAGGACACTTAACAAAACTTCGGCAGCCAGTCGCACCAGCTGAGCGTAAGATCGATCGTAAGTTGGGGTGTAAAGTCCGTCCTAAATCTCACGTTGAGAGTAGTTAGTTTAAAACTAGCAACACAGAATTTCAGTTGCACCACAGACACTTACGGTACATCTTAACTAGTGGAGCATAAAGTGATCGTAGATCAAAACACTGTCACAGAATGACGTTTTCACTCTGCAGCCAATCAGTAACGTGACCCAACATAAACAGGAAACATCACACACAGTGAAATGGCTCACATTTCTCTCTTTTCATGCCACAGTTAATTCGCTTAAGGTGTGTCTGTCGTGTTAGTTATATTTCAAAAAGAGAGTGTTTTACAGTAAAGTGGTGCCTCAAAGCGTCCGTCTCTTGTGTGTGTGTTTATTCTGTTCTGCTGCTGCTTGGATATTTTCCGATGTTCAAACCAGGTGCACAATACCTTAACTGCACCTTAACAGTAGTTGGTAATGTTAGTGAAGTTGCAGCTGACATAATCACTATTTGAATTCGCTGAACCACAGAAAGGTAGCAGTATTAATAGGTAACAGTATAATATTAGCCGATGCACCAGAGACGTATTTCGTTTTCTTGCAAGTTTTCCCATCAGTCAAATCAACCAGACCTTTAAATGGATTTTCGTCACGCTTCCTGCCCAGGACGCCTCCTCCACCTGTTTCTTTTTCCTCACAACATCACTTGAGTCCATGAACAGTCTAGAGGACTCCAACTCCCATGAGTCAGTGGGACACCACGTGGCTCTTATCCCATCGCCATCAACCAATGAACATTCATTTCACCAGAATTCTAAGCTGTCACACCTGTTTTTCATTACACTCCATTGGTCAGTTAGTATATAAAGCTGGGCTTTAGTTTAGTCATTTGCGAAGTATTGCCAACTCCTTCCGTTGTGTACTGAGTGTTCTTTGTTTGTGTAAGTTCTTGTGTGGGTGTTCTCTGTTCTCCTGTTTTCCATATTTCTGACCTGCCCTTTTGGTTTGTTTGCTGGATTTTGTCTTAGACTTTGGTTTTTGAACTCAGACTGGTTTTTGGCTACTCTCTGGATGTCACGTTAGTTTTGGTTCTCTTGCTCTCTGGTTCTCTAGCCTGTTCTGACTACGCCCTCTGTACCTTCACCAAAACCTCAAGTAAACTTCAGCCTTGTCCTTTTATCTTGATCTGTGTTGACATTGGAACAGCAGAACTTACACCTACTATAGGGTATGTGTACATTTTAATTTATAACTTAAAGCTACATTAAAACTATGTTATTTGGTGCAGCCGGTTAATTTCTAGTAGCTCGTAAGCTTAATTGGCAGTTTATATTCAAACTAGGCTACAATCAAATTTAATTAGGCTACAGGTTTGATAAGCCACTCGGCTCAACTCGACTCTGGAGTTTCTAAGCGAGTTGATACCAAAAAGTAACAGAAAAATGCTACAACGTGCTGATTGGTTGGAGAGAATTGCTGAACACATAATGTTAGCTACCAGGTTAGCGTCGCCTCTTCAGTCGCCTTTGAGCACCAGAAATTTCTCGTCGTCTGAACTCTGCTGTAGTTTTTCCCAAACTCTCCTTTTTTGTTCAGCAGTCTTTTGTTTTTCTGCCTCTTCTGAACGACATTTGCTTCCTTCACGTCACAGCAGTTTCATGCAGCATCGCAGTGATGACCAGCTACACTAAGGGGGCGCTATATCTGCAGTAAAAACGAAGTAGCTGGTACCAAAAGAGACTCGAGTCTAGTCGAGTAGAGCCATACCGCGCAGTGGAAAAGCGGCTTTAGTATCTACTGTTGTGTTTGTTTTTGTTATCAACTGGGAAAAATACCTTTTCAATCATTTTTGTTCTAGTTCAGTTTTTATGTTTTCATAAAAATAAACATGGTTGGTTAATATTGTTATTTTTGTTCTTAACAAGCAGCTGTCATCAGGACACAAACAGGCCGGCCGTCTGCGAGCAGACAGCCGCTCAGACCCCTCCCGGTTCCAGCTACATCCCGTCCTTCTGCACCTAGAACAGGTGAGACAGTCTGAGTTACACCATTATGATTAATTTACATTTAAAAAAATAATCCTTCCTCTTTTTGTCCGTCCATATCATTAACCTTTACTAGATCACTGTACCGGCACACTTCCACTGAAGCATTCACTCCACTTTACATACATCATTGTTATACATCAGATCGTTCAGCAATAATGCAATTAAAAAGCTGGAATCTCAGGATTCGATTCCCTCAAACCTTTTTATGATCCATTAATAACAGCAGTTACAATCGTCTCATCTGCAGCATCAGCACTGAATGAGAAACGCCAGCAAATCTGGGTGTCCTCACCTTCAAAGCATCTCCGCCTCCACAGAGACACCATAATCCAGAACATGTGGTCTGATAACACGGCAAGAGTCAGAGATCAGTTTAGAGATCTGTGAGTCAGGAGGAAATAAACTCCTCCATTCTAGACTCTGATACTCTGAGTCAGTCGTTCTGACAGTTATTCTGGTTGGGGAAAAAAGAATATTACCTTTCAAATGAGGCCAAGATCACAACTGTAGCCCAAAATATGTGGGAACAGCGCCCCCTTTTACCTGGGGTAAGCTGTTTCTAAGCAAAAAATGGGACAACATTTAAGTTATAAAATCTCATACTTTAGTTATCTCATACTTTTAATGTACCCATATGGAAAAAAAATCTAAATATATTTATTAAATATATTTTGTAATGTATAAAAAAGGACAAAAATGTATTTGTTAAATATATTTTTAAAATGCATTTATCAGTATTAGTTATTATCTGTGTTCAGTTGAGTGTAATGAAGGTTACAGATGTAACTGAACGTTCTTCTGTGATCTACACTGTACTTTACATTAACCGTGTACGTCTGCAGTCAGACTCTCACACACAATGTATTTCACACAAACAAGATATCATATCATAACTGCATTTTCACAGAGTATCAATACCCACAACACTCGCTTCTGTCCTGATAAAGGATCATTAGATCAGATTTAAAATGAAGATACTGGAACACAAATTCATCTCTAAAGGTATCAGACAGTGAAGAGCATCAGACAGGATTCTGACTATTTTCACACATTTTCAGATGGATTTGATAAACACATTTACACACAGTTATTTCTGTATGGAACATTTCTATATGTAATTTCCCCATACATTTTAAAATAAATGTATTTTAATATATATTGGGTTAATATGGAAAAATATTCTGAAATACATTTTAGTGTTTGGAATATATTTCAGCATCGACTGCAGTGTGTTTGAAATGTATTTCAAATATATAACGATATATGTTTATAATTTTTCCCTTATGTGTTTATGGGAAGTAGCTTTAAGTATATTAGGCTTTAGATTTTTCTAGTTTCACATGGATTTACAAGGATTTTCCTTGTTAGATGACGGAGTTACACACAGTATCCTGGACTGTATCCGGCCGCTCAGGTCTGAGTAAGACTTTGCTGTTCAAGTTCTGACATGCACTAAAACTGAGCCCATTTGCAAACGGTTTACCACACAAAGCCGCCCTTGTTCAGAGAAATGTGGACCCAATCTGAAACTCCACTGGCTGCGCTCCATCCCATGTCCACCCCTTTGATTTGTGAAGAGACTGAGATGCTGCCAGACTTTTATCAAAGCAGAAAAATGTGGGTTTGGACTGGGCGCTGAGCCGGAGCTGAAAGGTGGCTCAGTGTTGCTATCGCTCTAATTGGACAGTGTGAAGAACGTGAGCTGGAAGGGGATCAATAAGCCGCATTGTGAAAAGAGCAGAGGCAGTGATCCTGAGTGAGACTCCATTATGAATATATTCGATATTGCTAATAATCAAAGATGGGCAGCAAAAAATGCATTTAAAAAGAAAATAATAAATATTTTATATCCTTGTGAGACCTGGTAATTCATTTTTGTCCTCTGTGGGGGACGTGAGTCCCCAAATGACATCTCAAAAACCATATAAGCTCCAGTGCTGAAACCTGGTGCACCAGTTAGAGACACCCTGGCATCTCCAATGATATATCTGTTATATTTGTTGGGGTGAGTCGTTCAGAAGAGGAGTTCTGCCTCCTCGAAATGGCTGCCATCTCAGCCACCACATTTTATGGGTGCAATAGACGTAGTTGAAAAATATGCATTCATGGTGTTTCTAAAGCCTGTAGTTGATCTGTTTTAGGTAGAAAAATGTTAATTTCAGAGCAATTTTGATTGATAGGCATTAAAGTTCAACCTAACGGTCTCCTTTTTTGATGTCCTCTGTGGTGACACTGGAACTAAATCTGTTTTTGCATGAAATTCATGGTATCACAGAATTAATGATCACACCGCTCTTGACTCAGTTTGGGTTAGAAGCAATAACATGTAAGCTGAGCAGTTAAATACATCACTGTGATGTTACTGTATCTATTTATCTCTTTTTGGTCCTCATTATTTTGTACCACCAGTACGTTAAGTTTTACTCTTACTGCTAAATGGACGACTGGGATAAGTGTATGCAGGCATCTTAGCTCAGGATCTGAGCTTTATTTAATTTCCTAATTTATTAGAAAATCTCATTTTATACAATTCTACATTTAAAAATTAAAACATTTAGAAATAAATTCATTCTCACGTCTCTCCATTTGTACCTAAGATTCATCCCTAATTTGGAACAGTTTGCTGCTAAATGACACCCAAAGCCGAACTGACTGGGTGGCCTGGACTTATTTTAGCAGCACAGTGATGATCAGTTTCAGGACTTTGAAGACTGATGACAAGGTTTTAGAAGTTGCTGCTGATGTTGCAGTGGAGCTTTGGTCTGATGCAGAATAGGAAACAAGAAATATGACATCAACATAATTACTATTCAATGTCCTGTTGTCAACTATAAAGGTCATTACATAAAAAAAACAAACAAGAAGTGTTTTTGAAAAATTACTGTGACTTTTATTTCAGCCAATCGACTTATTTTATCTTAAAATCTTAAAATTACTAAAATTCTCAAACTTTAATTGTTCTGGGTCTCAGGAGGATTTTACTAGTGTCAGAAATGCTGATTGTTTGGAGGGTCATGTAGCCCTAACACTTCGCCCTACCCCTCTGTCTCAAGAATCGGGACACCCTACCCCTAAAAACAGAGGGCTAAGGGCTGAGTGGTAGGGGCGAGGGGTGAAATGGGATTGGGCCTAAATCAGCCTGAAAACGTTCCTGTTTGAGCAGCTTTCAGCTCAGTTTAAACACTGTTAGCATTTCTAGCCCTTTTTCCTCTGTAACGGCACTTTTTTAAAAATTTCACTTTTTATTTTCAATTTGATTATTTAACTATCATAATTAAAATTTCTAATTAGATTTTTACTTTATTGATTTTTCTCTTGTAAATCTATTGTTTTCATGTTTTAATCATTTTTAATGTCTGTTCTCGTTTAATTTTTTAAACAACTCTGTATTTTCTCTTTTGTAAAGCATTTTGAATGACAGCAGTGTATGACAGGTGCTCTATAAATAAACTTGCCTTGCGGTGTGTGTGTGTGTGTGTGTGTGTGTGTGTGTTTTACAGATGTGCGTGTGTGTGAAGTGAGGCCGCAGGTTTGTGGGCCGGGTCGGTGTGTTGATGTGGCCGGAGGGAGACACATCTGCGTGTGTAATCCTGGATTCATCTTCAACACTCAAGCAGGTCACTGCCAAGGTGTGAAACTCCATACATTACACTGCACCTGAACTTTTACCTTTTATATATTTACATTTGTAAATTTACAGACTTTTATTTTGAAAGATGTGCTGTTTTCCACATCACTGACAAGGCTGGTGGTCTTCCCCACTATTTAAAATACAGGAAAAAGATAAAGCATAAAATGTGGCCTGTGCAAAGGTTATGGCACATTTTATATTTTTTCTTATGTTTTTTTTCCAGGTTGTTAAAATCAGCAAATAAAAATGTTTTTGATCATGCATGTTGTTGAGAGTGAATTGTACACATATAAGAAATATGAGTGTAATGTTATGATTAATATCACCTTTATTAGAGAAATGAACATGGGTTTTCCCATTTATGTCAGCTATTAGTTCTTTTAAAAACTTGTTACATCCAGAATTGTTACAAATGAATATACAGCACTTTGGAATGAAGCTCTTCATATATATGTATCTGTATTTACATACACTATAAGGACAAAAGTATTGGGACACGCCTCTTAATCACTGAATTCAGGGGTTTCATTCAGTCTCTTTGCCACAGGTGTATAAAATCACGCCTGACTTTACACACATCAGTGAAAGAATGGGTCTAAAGAGCTCACTGGATTCCAGTGTGGTGCTGTAATGGGACGCCGCCATTGTAAGAAGTCAGTTTGTGAAATTTCTTCCCTCCTAGATATTTCACGATCAACTGTGAGTGGAATTAGAAAAATGCCAAGTAAAAAGAAAAATGCCACTGACGCAGTGCCAAGTGTCTGATGGAGTGGAGTAAAGTGCCCCCACTGGACTCTGGAGCAGTGGAATCGTGTTCTGTGGAGTGACGAATCAGCTTCTCTATCTGTCAGTCTGATGGACGAGTCTGGGTTTGGCGAGTTCCAGGAGAACGTTAGCTGCCTGACTGCACTGTGCCAGCTGTAGAGTTTGGTGGAGGAGGGATGATGATATGGGGCTGTTTTTCAGGGGTTGATCTAGAACCCTTAGTTCCAGTGAAGGGAAACCTTAATGCTTCAGCAGAACAAGACATTTTGGACAATTGTGCACTTCCAACTTTGTGGAACAGTTTGGGGAAGAACCTTTCCTGTTCCAGCATGACTGAGCCCCAGTGCACAAAGCAGCTCCATAAAGGCCTGACTGGGTGAGTTTGGTGTGGAAGAACTTGACTGACCCTCACAGAGCCCTGACCTCAACCCCATCCAACACCTTTGGGATGAACTAGAACGGAGATTGTGAGCCAGGCCCTCTCGTCCAACATCAGTGTCTGACCTCGCAAATGCTCTTCTGGATGAACGGGCAGAAATTCCCACAGACTCTCCAACATCTTGTAGAAGCTTCCCAGAAGAGTGGAAGCTGTTAGAGCTGCAAAGGGGACCAACTCCATATTAATGCCTATGGATTTAGAATGGGATTCATAGAAGCTCCTGTAGGGGTAATGTGTAGGTGTCCCAATACTTTTGTCCATATAGTGTGTATATATATTTTGGAATAAAACTCTTTGAAATGCAAATGAGCTTCACTTAAACTGGTGTGAAGCACTGACTGTGTTCCTGAATCATTACTGAATGCTGACATTCAGCTGTTTTGCATTCTTGAGGTTTTACTAGTTCTTCCCATGGACCTTCCAAAGCTCCTGTTGGTCAAAGTTCAGCGAGCAGGTCTTGGCCGTTCTTTCCCACCGGTCACACTGAGCTGACTGAACAGCTCGCGATGGAGCCTTTGTTTTCAGTCATCTTTACATCTGCTGGTCAGCTAATAGTCTGCAGGGCAGTTGCTCTGACCCCTCAGGTCGCGAGAGCCGGGCCTAGAGCTGCTCCTTTGTCTTCTGGGGCAGATGTGAGAGCGTTTATAAGCCGCACGGTTTTTGTCGTCTTGTGAAAAGATTCGGCACGGTGAGCTGAGGGGTCTAAGATTTAAGATCAGCCCTCCTCCTCAGATGCGCTTTAAAATGAACTCATTGTTTTTGACTCAGAATTCTTTGAAACCAATAGAAACGTTGTGTGGAAAGTATGAACACAAACCACACCACGTTTGTCTTTGTAAGCTGAAGAGAGGTTTTTGTTATGATTTTAATTTGATGAAAAGTTACTGTTGTGCAGACAGTCTTGATTTGCTGAAAGAAAAACATCCTTTAACATGTTTTATTATTGTTTGACATCCAAACGAGTGGTTCAGACTCGAAATTCAGTGTACATGTAATTCATTACACTGTGAAATTAATGGTATAATCCTGTACCTGTGTAGTGTAAAGTGAAGGTACAGCCAAACAACAACTATAGCTCTGCTTCTAAGGGTTAGTGATGTTGGCTAATGTACAGTCAAATATGTGCATCTGTGTGTTTTACAGATATAAATGAGTGTGTGTTGACTCCGAGGCCGTGCTCAGCGGGTCAGTGTGAGAACACAGTGGGCAGTTTCCGCTGTGTGTGTCCACCAGGCTACCAGAGCAACGCCCAGCAGAACCAGTGCTCAGGTCAGTGTGTTGTTATTCAGAGCTGTGACTGCTTCTGCTCATAAACGTCATTAATAAATGTCTCTTTCTGACGGCGTTCAAGCAGTAAAGCCTCTCCAGCTGGTGAGTTTGTTCCTAAGCGCTGTTGGGACGGGGTTTTGCCGTAGGGAGGGGGGTGATGCCATTTTACCACAGGACGTCTGTAATGTTAATGAGAGGTTCACACGAGATAGGACATCTCAGTATAAGTGTCGTTTCACACACTGCCTTTAAAATGTAACGTTTTCTGTTTATCCTAGCAGTGTGTCTTGGGGTTGCAGATTGCGACCAGCTGACTCCGCCCTTCCAGAAAGCCTGCAGTGGCCATCGCCTCGATTTCGTTTCGCTTCTTTGACGACAAGCCTTCACTCTCTCTCGCTTTTTCTTCTACTGAATAACAAGTCTGATCCTCCATCTGTCAGAATTTCTCAAACTTCTCGCAACACAAACTGGTTAGCTAGCACCGGGGTTCTAACAGTTTATCCCATCGAGTATGCACATATTAATAACTCAGTGTTTTAAACATTTTAATGCATTTTTAATGTTAATTCAGTGCAGTCTCTGCTTAATATCACTACTTTCTCCCTGATAAGCTAATTTAGGCTGTAAAAATATCCTGGTTTTTCTTTTAATCAGGGTAAAATTTTCAAAAACATTCACCAGAATTTTCAACCTTAACTGGTCCTGCAGTTCCGTTTTGGCACCTGAGGAATAATAATAACTGGTGCATAACTGTTTAAAGTGGAACACAAAGCGGAGCATAAGAAGCCGACTCCAGCCTCGTAATTTTAATGCTTGTAGTATTTTTGATAAGGAGATTTATGCTATGAAAATATCCTACCTGGAGTTTCATGTATGGAGCTGCTGATAAATATGCACTACAGTTGGACATTTCGACAAAGATGTAGCGCCACCAAATTTAAGCTGCCACTTAGGTAAAAATGTGAAAGGTGCTCTGTAGAGTGTTTGTTTGGTCCTTGGTTTTGTCACTATATTCTATTTCTGCAAATAGATCCCCCAAAATCTTACACACCGCACCTTTGAGTGAACACAGTGTGTCATTAGCTTGGGAATACACATCGCCACATAAAATCAAATGTTTTTTTCTGTAATTTTTACATGTTCTGAGTTTTACACTTGAGGTAGGACAACATACACTGATCAGGCATAACACTATGACCACCTCCTTGTTTCTACACTCATTGTCCATTTTATCAGCTCCACTTACTATATAGGTGCACTTTGTAGTTCTACAGTTACAGACTGTAGTCCATCTGTTTCTCTGATACTTTGTTAGCCCCCTTTTATCCTGTTCTTCAGTGGTCAAGACCCCCATGGACCCTCACAGAGCAGGTACTATTTGGGTGGTGGATCATTCTCAGCACTGCAGTAACACTGACATGGTGGTGGTGTGTTAGTATGTGTTGTGCTGGTTTGAGTGGATCAGACACAGCAGTGCTGCTGGAGTTTTTAAACACCTCAGTGTCACTGCTGGACTGAGAATAGTCCACCAACCAAAAATATCCAGCCAACAGTGTCCTGTGGGCAGCGTCCTGTGACCACTGATGAAGGACTAGAGGATGACCAACACAAACTGTGCAGCAGCAGATGAGCTATCGTCTCTGACCTTATATCTACAAGGTGGACTGACAAGGAGTGGACACAGTGTTTAAAAACTCCAGCAGCACTGCTGTGTCTGATCCACGCAGACCAGCACAACACACACTAACACACCACCACCACGTCAGTGTCACTGCAGTGCTGAGAATGATCCACCACCCAAATAGTACCTGCTCTGTGAGGGTCCATGGGGGTCTTGACCACTGAAGAACAGGATAAAAGGGGGCTAACAAAGTATCAGAGAAACAGATGGACTACAGTCTGTAACTGTAGAACTACAAAGTGCACCTATATAGTAAGTGGAGCTGATAAAATGGACAATGAGCGCAGAAACAAGGAGGTGGTCAGAATGTTATGCCTGATCGGTGTGTATCGGCTTGATTTTACCAGTGGTTCCAAAATGCACTTCATCATATTCTTTACTTCATAACCTTCTTAGCTTTTTTTATATTTTATTAGGTTCATTCTAAAGGTGGGGGTCGTATGAGAGCTGTAACTGTCTTCTTTCCAGTCAAATAGATGGGTGATGTAGTTTGATGAGCAACTTTTTTTTTTCTACTGAAAGTCGACCCATTTTTCCACAAATCTGAGCTACAAACTGGATCTCAGACGGCGTCTCTTCAGAGATCTGCTCAGTAAAAATTACTTTTATAAAAATATACAAACAGCATCTAAGATTTTTGGCTTTCAGCAGTAAATTATAAACATATAACATTATGTTTATGATCATAAAACACATTTTCTGTCCAGCTGAGGGGAGCTTATCCAAAAAAAACAAAATAATAATAATTTCATGCAGTTGCTGAATAATTTGCCTTGTGATTTGGGCATGTAAATTCAGATGGAAAGACCGAAATATACCCACCAGCACGAGGTTACTTTTAAGTTACGTTCAACTAAATATGTGCTGAATTGACCATAATTATCTTTAACTCTAAACCTGCTCTAATCCTAACCCCAACCCCAACCTCAATCCAAATCCTAACCCCAACCCCACCACTGTTTAGAACTGTTTAGCGTTTCAGCAGGTAGTTTGTTAAGAATTTGAGCATCTGTAGAGAATCTATAAAGGACCATAGTGGACTATTCAAATAAAGTGAGACCAAAACTGGTAATAGAACACAGTACCTCAGTTTATTTATTTATTTTTATTTATTTATTTTTTACAGGCGTCACCCCACACTGAAATGGGATGTAAAGTCTCTTCCCTTGTTCAGTGTCATATTTTTAATTGGTGCCATATTTGTCATTTAGCCACACAGCATGTTGTTATTGTTCAGAAGTGTGGTGCTTATCACACAATGCTGACATAAACATCCATACGATGATTTGATGATGTTTGGGTCTGGGCTGTTTAGGGTAATTTGGGGAAGTTACAGAGATCCTTTACCCCGTATGAATCGAAATGTTTTATGCTTGTTGTGACGAAAACGATCATAATACATTAAAACGACATTAAACTAAGATAATACAGTGGTTATCGTAATTTTTAACGTAGAAAATTCTCACATTTGTGGGTTTCTTTGGTCTCTTGTTCAGCCATCTTGCCGGTTTTTCTTTTTTCCTCATATCAGTCCGTTTGGAGTGTCTCTGTTTTGAGGGTCATGGAGCTCTAACACTTCGCCCTACCCCTCTATCTCAACAAGAATCGGGACACCCTACCCCTAGACATGAATGTGGAGGGGTAGGGCTGAGTGGTAGGGGCGAGGGGTGAAATGGGATGGGGCCTTGCTGTGAACCTGCGTAGATTTTGGGTGTACGTTTCTGTTTAAGTTCAGCTCTTTGCTTTTTCCAGTGGTCTCGAAAAAAGCGAGTGATCCAATAGCAGAACAGCATGTCAATCTTGTGTATCACTGATCGATTTCTCAGATATCGACGAGTGCCGTCAGAACCCCTGCGTTAACGGCCACTGTGAGAACACACCGGGCAGCTTCAGGTGCGTGTGCAGGACGGGGTACAGGCTACAGGACAACACCTGCACAGGTAATAATACACCGCTCAGGTATTCACACCTGTGACATTGTTTTCCTCGAAATAAACCTGATGTGGTTTTAATATTTTTTTTACTGAACTGGGAAAATCTGCCTTCAGTTCCAGAGCACCAATGAGCTTCTTACCACCTCCACTCTGCCTGCTACTGTTGTGTGTGTGTGTGTGTGTATATATATATATATATATATATATATATATATGTGTGTGTGTGTGTGTGTGTGTGTGTGTGTGTGTGTGTGTGTGTGTATATATATATATATGTGTGTGTGTGTGTGTGTGTTTATTTATTTTATTACATTTTCCCCCATTTATTTATTTGTTTATTTATTCATATTCTTATTCTTGTTTCAGTTATGATTATTTTATTATTTCAGATATTTTAATTTAATAAAGTTTTATTTATGTTCTTTTGATTTTATTAACTTTAACATTTTAGTTGTTTTATATTTTCTGGTTTTTTATGCATTCTATTATTAATGTTTCATTTTTTTATACTTACCTGATTGGAGTCGTTTTTATTATTAAATTTACCTAGATTATTTGATATGTTTTTACACATATTATCAATCCCTTTTTCCTGTATCAACTCAGCAACACTGTAAATGAGGGTCCCCCTCAATGTTCTCTGAGCTTAAATAAAGGTTGATTGATTGAATATAGTAAGTCATTAAAAACCAACAAAGAAAACATGACCATTTATATTAAAAACACTCTGAAAAGCCAGGTGTCCCCAAACTTCTGACTGGTAGGTTATTATTATTTGTGCAATATTACTCACACCTGCTGTGACAGAGTTGGCTTGTGTTCTTCAGATGTTGATGAGTGTGATGACCCGCTCCGCTGCCCTGGTCAGGAGTGTGTGAACTCTCAGGGTTCGTATAAGTGTGTCCCCTGCAGAACTGGCTTTGGCCTGCTCAACGGACAGTGCACAGGTAATGCTGCACCACTCAGGTTCACTCATTCAGTCCAGCTTTCATTCATTAATTCATTCAAACCCAGAAAATAGCGTTTGTTCAGCAGAGTTGATCACTGTAATGATCTTCTTACTGGAGAAAACAGTCCATCCTCTAGAACCCGTACAGAACGCAGCAGCACAGATCCTCACAGCACCAACACAGAGAGCTCATATCCCCCCGTTACACACTGCACTGACCGCCT